CTTTCTGTCTCTATGTCTCTGTCTGTCTGGCGAGCGCACATGCCCTACCTCTCCAAAAAAATAAAAATAAAAAAACACTGAGTACATGTGCATACGTGCCAGATCCCAAGAGAATGGAAGAGAAGGGATTGCAGCTTGGCCACCCCGGGGAGTGCTTTCTCACTTTCCCTCCGTCTGTCTCTTTCTGTCTCTCTCCAGAGAATACATGTGCCCTACAGCAAAACAAAGGGAATACCACAGTTTGGGGCTCTGTGTTGGCTTATTCCACATACAAACCTTTCAGCCATGGTGCAGCCTGCACCTGCATGCCATGCCCTTAAGTGGCTAAACAGTACTGCACGGGGGCAGTAGGTAGCGTGGTGGTTAAGGCACAAGACTCTCACATGGCTGACTACGGTTCAAGTACCGGTCCTGGCGACTAGCTTTCTCTCTCGAGTGGGTGTCCCCTATAGCAAATTTAAAAAATAATAACAAAATAATTCATAAAAAGGTAAAAAGCAGTACTCCACTGTGTGGCTGTGCCATGCTGCACTTGTCCAGTCTCTGGCTGGTAGTCACCTGGGCTGTGGCTGCCGCCCCACTGTTAGGGACACTGCACCCCACAGGTGCCCACAGGTGCTCGGGCGCCCTGACCTCCTGAGCAGCACCGTGCACACAGTCCCTGGGTCCTGGCAGCCTTTGTTGCCACAGTTCCCACTCCTTACCTCAGGCTGCTGCTGAAACAATTGCCTTTAAACCCTTGCGAACGGCCCCGCCCCTGTGTGCCCCCATACCCCACCAAGCTCAGCCCCAGCAGAGGTCAGGTGAGATGGACCCAAAGCCCTTCAAGGTGGTCTTTCAAGGAGTGACCAGAGAAGCGAAAACAAATAACCTAGTGTTTTTTTTAAACTCGTAAATGACTAGATACAGAAGTGCGCACACTTACAGTGGCACGTTACCCAGCTGCAGCGTCCCCCATCAGCACATCACAGCAGACACCCACAGGAGAGCGTGCCCGCTCTGGCCGGGACGTGTGTGCACAGCCTGCTGAGCACAGGGACACCCCTTTTGAAACGGTTTCTCAGAAACTCCCACGTGGTGCTCGCACCCCATCTCCTCCTCACCGTAACGTCCCCGAAGACGAAGCTCAAGTCCAGAGAAAATGCAGGTCTCTGAGGGCAGCTCACTTTCCCCAGCGAAGGCGCATCCGGAAATGCCCCGCCCACTGTCCCCTTTGACGCTGTAGCCCCCGTGGGAGCGGTGCGGCTGCTCCTTCTTTCACAGGCAAGCACGCCCGCCAGTCAGCAGCGTCGGTGACACGGCTCCCTGGACATGGGGAGTCCCCGTCACGTCCCCACCACTGCACACTGTAGGACTGCAGGTAGGAGGGAGAGTGGATGTCAAGGTGAGATACCTGTCCAAACCCAGGAAATAAAATGCACACGTTTTCATCCCCGCACGGCAGAGACGCAGCGCCCCACGGTGCTGACACCTGCGGCGAGTTCCTGGGCGGGCACACCTGGGAGCCAGACTGACGCTGTGCTGAGTCCTATCCCTCTCCCTCCTTCCATCTCTGTCTCTCCTAGAAGAAGCAAATACACTTTTAAAACACGGACCTCTACGTATGCAGAGCGGTGTCGCAGCAAAGGCGCCAGCTCTCACCCTCTTCCAGGACACGCCTGGCTGGTCTCGCGCCTCCAGAGCATCTGCAGAGGAGACGTGAGCAAACCGCAAGAGACAGCTCGGTGGGGGGCCTGGCCAGGTAAGGCAGCCGGGGATTGCGCTGCACAGCAGCCCCCATGTGGGACACAAGCCAGCGCCAGCACCAGTGCCCACCCGGAGACCTGTGTGGGCACAGAGCGGGTGCCTGGTTTAGTCACTCGTTTTCCTCATGTGTCAGCTTCGCACCACGGACTGCTTCCACAGAACCCTGTCGCACGTGGGTCTCTGCAAAGCTCTGAAACGCTGCTGGCCTCTGCGTGGAGAAGACGGTCCCCAAGGACAGCACCCATGGATATCTTCTTCCTTCCTCACGCCACAGCCAAGAGCAACGTGCCGGCCAGAAGTGCCGCCACTGCCGTCCGGTCAGCTGCAGGGTTGGGGCGTGTGCGACGGTCGGCAGGCTGAGCAGGAGACAAGCACCGCGGGTGGCCGAAATGCAAATTTAAAAACAAGACTAAACATCCGTCTCCCTACAGGACCAGGATTCCACTCCCGATGTGGGCTCCAGGGATTCTTGCAGGACCAGGAGGGACGGGCCATTCGTGGTACAAGAAAAAGCAGCAGCCGAGCACCCACCCACGGGCCAGGTCTTCGTCCGCTACCGCTCATGGAAAGTCCTGAGGACCATGTCACCACATACAAGGATTACGCAGGTCACAGTTCAGAGGTCGGCACCTGAGGCCGCCTTCTGTGGAGGCTGCAGTAGGGCCTGGGGCGGGGTGGCTCCCCTAGGTTCTCTGTGTTCTGGCCTGAATCCAGGTGCCCACCTGCCTCCCTCCTCTCCTCACCACCCCCAGAACACAGCCGGGGGCCCCAGGAGGTGAAGGGGCTAGGTTTTCACTTAATGCCTTTTCCTGTACAACCAAGTCCCACCCGCCAGCCTCTGGGGGTGTCCTACCACTGCCCAGTCAGGCTGAATGCCAAACCCCTGGTGGACAAACCCTTACCCAAACCCTGACAGCAGGTGAGTCAGCAAAAGGGAGCCTGTCACCGCAGCGGAACGGCCGACTGGCGGGACACGGAGCGTGGACGCGCTGGGGGTCGTCACATGGCGGGGTGGCAGCCCGAGACAGCGACCGCGAGCCCACCGCCCCTTCCCCACAGAGCATCTAACGTTTGCCGGGCGCGGGCCGCAGATGAAGGTCTCGAACGGTTGCTCCCAGGCCGCGCAGTGAGACCCCGCACACCGGAGTGTGGGAGGCGGCCCCAGCTCACTGAGACGCGTCCCCTTCACACTTCCCAGTGGGAAGAGGGCGAGGAGGTAAATGGAACCCTGACCCTCCAGCATCCAGCTCTGCCCTCTTCTCTCACCAACCGCTAAGGTCCACTCTGCAAGGACTTCACAGTTGATGTGGGGACACCACAGGGCTTCTCGGCCCTTCCCGATTCCCCCCACCCCCACCAGCCACTCTCCGGGCCTGGGGGTCATGTTCCCCGACCAGCCACTCTCCGGGCCTGGGGGGCATGTTCCCGGACCAGCCACTCTCAGGGCCTGGGGGGCATGTTCCCCGACCAGCCATTCTCCGGGCCTGGGGGGCATGTTCCCTGTGACCAGCCACTCTCTAGGCCTGGGGAGCGTGTTCCCCACACCAGCCACTCTCCAGGTCTGGGGGGCACGCCCCAGCTCGACTGTCCCTTGGGAGGGTGTGCCTGGGGCGGGGTATTGGGCTGGAACCAGCCTGGGAGGGAAGCAGAACTGGTTCTGGGCAGCTGCAGCGGGTGCGTGGGCTCTGAAGGGACATTCCCATGGCCCTGTGGGCCTGTGAGAAGGACAAGGCCCAAGGGGACAGAAGCAAAGGCCAGGTTGTGGCCCGTATCATCCAGTGTAAGGGCAGAGTCAGACACAAGGTGCCCTCTCCTCCACCAACCTCGCCACCCTGGAACAGGAGCTGCCACCTGGCCCACTCCACACTTGGGACGCACCTTCACAAACGGGACTCTGCCGAGCCCACAACCTCGAAAGAGTGAAACACACCACCTTCCGAGCAGAAGCGACTCGCGCTGGGGCTGGAGGGCAGTGCAGCGTGAAATGCAGCACTGTGGGAGGGCCCAAGCGGCTGAAGAGCCCCCAGCACAGCAGCAGGGCCCTGTCGGGAGTGCCGGCTCCTGGGTGTCGCCCATCTCCCTGTCTCTCTCAATAAAAGAAATGAATTGTTTTAAATGAGCACTGGCGGGTCTCCGGTGAGGCCTCCTACCACACGATACTGATGGCTGCCTAGCCCGGCGCTCTAGAAAACCGGTGGGGCAGAAGGGGATTGGGAATGAGAACCGTGTGCTCCACCGTCAGGGGAAGACCAGTCAGGGGAGCTCAGACCAAACACAGAGCCATGTACAGGAGAGGGCCTCAGCCCAGGCCAGCAGTGACCCCCGGGGGGAAGGTGGCCATGCAGGGTGGCAACCCTTGCTTCGCCTTGGGCTCCGTTCCCACCCAAGCCACGAAGTGAGGAGCTTTGACACGTCAAAGCAACCCCCACCCAGATTCCACACCAATTACAGGGGCCTGGCTCCACAGCCCTCGCCCTCACCACCACCCCGCTGAAAATACTGTTAATGAGAGGGCAGCCTAAAGCCACGGCTGCATCTGCTCAGCGTCCCTCCGGGAGCAGCCTGGTCCAGCCCCAGGGAGGGGGGCCTCCAGCAAGGAGGCCGCATAGCCGCCCTATTACCAGGGACCTGGCTCGGCCTGGGTCGCTATTTAGGGCCCGCGTCCGCTCCTCATGTGACACCCAGGGACTGGGCTGCAGCGGGCACCCCGAAGCCAGAGCCGGAGCCGCCACCACAGCCATCAGGGCTCCTCTCTGGCCTCTCACCACGCTCAGCCGCACCATGGCTCTCGCGCGCACGGCCGCACAATACATGCTCTCCGACGCCCTGCTGCCTGACCGCAGGGGCGCCCGCCTCAAGGGCCTGCGCCTGGAACTGCCCCTGGACCGCGTGGTCAAGCTGGTGGCCGTGGGCTTCCCCTTGCTGCTGGTGTCCCTGGCCTTCGCTCGGGAGTTCTCCTCCGGTAAGCTGCCCAGACCGGGAGACGCAGATGCCCCTGGGCTCCGCTCTCCACTCTCTGCAGAGCCAGCTCACCTGGACAGGTTCCAGGGCCAGAAGACAGAGGAGGCCTGAGTTGAGGGCAAGCTTAGTTCTGCAAAGCAGAAGCTGAAAATGTTTTTAGGAGTCAGCTCTGAAATTTTGCAAACTTCAAAATGTCAGTCTTTGTATTTTATGTCATTTCAGTAGTTAGCCCTGTTGGGTGCATGCAGACGAAAGGGGTGGGCCCTTTCAGAACCTCGGCCTCTCTGTCTCTTACTTCCCTTGTGACCACTCCCAGGGTTACTGATCTGAAGCCACATTTAAGGGCTTGAAGGCACCGGGCACATCAGAGGTGCAGAGTCCACGGCCGCCCCTCACCCCAGCTCCCCACGCAGCCATGACAAGCACAGACTGGCTCCAAACTCACTGCCCTGAGACCTGGACCCCTCCCGTCTGCCACTAGCTTTCAAGGCTCCCAGCACGTGCGCCGCACCCCTGCTGCCATCCTCCGCAGGGCAGGAGAGTCGGCCTCTATTTTGTCTCCTCTGGTGAAAAACCAAAGGCCGGCTGTCCTCCCAGGCCCTTTGCTCTGGGCCCACTGGCCCACCCTTGGGAGCTGGCCTTTGTCCACGTCAGGACCAAGACCGCTGGAGTCCAGATGCCAGGGACAAGGACCATGGGGGCAGATCAAGTACAGGGCCACCAGTCCGGGCCCCCCCCCCCCCCCAGCCACAGCAGAACCAGCCCTGAAAAAGACACAGGCAGAGGACGGTTTCAGCCAGAAAGCTCTTGGGAGACCATCCCTAGCTTGGCCCTGCCTGGCCTCAGGCTGCCTCAAAGCTTTGTCCACTCCAGGACCTCCGGTCAGCTGCTTCTGTCCTGCCAACTTCAGCACAAGGCAGGCCGCCTACACCGACAGCGCCTGCTGGGACTCGCTAGTGCACCACGAGCCCGGGATGCAGCACAGCACATCGCTCTGGCCACACAAGGTACCGAGGCCAGCCGTGGCCCACCCATGCAGTGGGACACCCTGACCCTGCGTTCCCTCAGATGCCCCCAGCTCCCCCCCCATACAGACATGTGCATGCACACACACATGCAGAGACGAACATGCATGCAGGCAGACGTGTGCACACACAAACATACACATGCACACACACATAGGTACACACATACATCGACACACAGGTTCACACTCACAGAGATACATGTACACATGCATGCACACATAAATGTATACAGAACACATGCACACACAGACCCCCATGCACACCCCGCCAGCCTCATTTACTCTGGCTGCTGCCTCTTCAGATTCACCAGGGCTGTGGTGTGGACAGAGCCTCAGGGAAAGGGATCCCTGGGCCTGCGTCTGGGGCACTTCGCCTCTGAGGGTGGCCAGCTTCCTGGAGGAGAGGCATTCGTGGGGAGCCCGGCTGCCACCCCGGAACTCGGCTGTGGTCTCACCGCCCGGGGTAAACACTGCCCTCTGCGGCCCAGGGCAGCACTGCTGGGGTGACTCGAGGTGGGGGAGGAGGGGGAGCGTGATCATGTCACGGAAAACCTGCAGCTCTCTCGCAGACTCATCTTCCTGCTCGTCTGCAGGGGCGCCTGCGGCCCCTGGTTCCTGAACTTTCCTGTGTGTGTGCAGACGGCCGCCCGCCCCGCCCCTGCCACCATAACGGCCTGGTGCCTTCTCCCGCTGTGGCATGTGCCGCTCCGCCCCACTCCTGCCCGCTGCCCCTGGTGATGAGGCCTCGACCCTACATCATCAGCAGTGTGGTCCAGGAGGGAGCGGCAGCAACACGCATGTTTGATTCACAACAGTTGATCAGAAGTCACGAGCCCAGCCTGAGGCACAGTTGGTGGCAGCTGGACAGCGGTGCTGGGAGCCATGTGGCTGGCCTGAAAACCGCGGTGCATGCATACGTGCCCAAGACCCTGACGAACAGGAGGACTGTGGGGAGGTTCTCTCATGTGTGCACACGCGCCTCTCGCAGGAACACACAGACATATAAGAGAAGGGTCAAGTTATCGGGTCAGCAGGCTGCTGGGAAGCTCTCCAGCCCAGTTTCTCAGGCTCCACTCCAAACCTACTAAAAACGGTCTCTAGGTACAAAGCGCCATTTCTCAAGAAACATTTTTTTCAATCTTTTTAGGTTTTGCCATAGGGCACATACACTCACGAGAGAGAGAGAGAGAGAGAAATCACCCCCCAGGGATTCTCCATTCTCCTCTCAGAAATTTTGGGCACGCGTGCATACGTGCTCAGCGTGTTTCCAGACTAGGCCCGCAGCCCCCGTGTGGGAGCCCAGCACGTTACCCACCATGCCACCAGATGGCTCAAGAAACAGGAGTTACGAGTCCCCACTGTCTCTCGTGGACCAAGTGTACCTTTCCTGTCGTTTCATTTTGTCCAGAAAGCACACCTACCCCTTCCTCCTCTGCTCCGTGTGACCACACCCATACCTTCCCTGTCTTCAAACTCCCCTCCACGACAGCGGAGCTTCTGCTTCCAGAGAGGCTGGTGCCCACGTGGCTTCAGGGAGCGCACCCCAGACTGTTCCTCTCAGGCCCCGGTCTCCTGCTCTATAAAGCGGATCCCGACGTGCCTGCCTGGTGGCAGCCTAGGGCACATCGAAGCACTTAGCAAAAGCATAGCTTTAAAAGCTTGCACGGTAGAGAGTTTACTGTGGGAAAATGATGGGCCTAGGCCAGTGGGTGCGGCGAGCGTGCTGAGGAAGCCCGAGGAACGCCCTGTATGCGTTTGCCATGCAACAGCAGTGCCCTGCCTCAGTGCCAGGGGCCAGGCCCCACGCCACAGGTCCACAGTGCGGCCCCCGAGGGCTCTAGGTATGCACCTTACTCTTGGCAGTGGGCACGCCACCCTGGCCGCCCCACTCGGCACACGGCCTCTTTAGGCAGGGCTTCCCTGGGCATTAGTGGTAATGGGTCAGGGCCCCCATTCCAGCACACCCCATTTTAACTCAGATAACTGGATCTGCAACAACCCCACCCCAAGTAAGGTGTCACTCAGGGGCACAGAGGTTCAGACTTCAACTTGTGGGGGCACAGACACAACTCAGCCCGCGCCGGGCATCACTCAGACCCGGTGGTGCTGGGGGCAAGGCCGGTGCATCCCTAGTGCCATAGCACTTCCAGCCTGAAGGCCCCACAGGATTCCAAGACAGTGACTGATGGCATAATCTGGCATTATGAACGGAGAGATGACGGAGGTAAGGGGGTTGTCTGCCCTGGGACACCCTGGCCATCACTGTCATGACCCATGACAGTCCCTGACCCAGCGCACAAGGCAGCGGACGCAGGGCCTCTCCCTCTGTCATTGACCTGGGTCCCTAGACAGACCCCGAACACGAAGCTGGATCTGCCGCCACCCCTTCTCCCCCAGGCCTCCCTACGTCAGCTGGGTCAGTAGAGCCCCTGGGCCTGGGGTGGCCATTCCCTGCTGCCCTCTCCCGCTGACACAGGCGCTGGAGTGTGGGGCTGTCACTCAGAGCTGACCCTCACCCACAGGCCCTGCCCTACTCCCTGCTGGCCCTGGCTGTGGCCATGTCCCTGCCAGCTGTGCTGTGGCAGTGTGCGGCGGTGCCCGCCCTGGGCTCGGACCTGCTGTTCATCATCAATGAGCTGGACAAGTCCTACAACCGCTCTGTCCGCCTGGTGCAGCACCTGCTGAAGACGCGGCAGGAGAGCCCCAACCCCCACGTCTTCTGGGACGAGCTGGACAAGTGAGCGGCCCTCCCACCCCTCCCCGAGGGCGCGGCGTGGCTATACGAGCACCGCCCTCCCTTGCTCACACAGGATGCTAACCTTGCCTCCCTTGCTCACACAGTATGCTACCTTGACTGCTCTCAGCCACGAGAGGGTCCCTTCTCAGACGCCCTCATTACAGGGTCCCCCTGCTCAGGAAGTCGTCCAGGTGCTCGCCGTGGGCCCACAACCTCCCAAACATCTGTCACTGCCTCTCCAACGTCTCGCCGGGTGACAGTCCCCTCCATCTCCCTGAAGACTCCCCAGGGCACCAGGCCCTGCGCCAGCCCACCGCGGCGGGGTGGGAGAGGGCGACAAAGCTGTAGCTGCTGTGTCCCATGGGCCACAGGTCCACAGGACGCCATGCAAAGTACGCAGAGGGAGGCAAGCGGGCTGAAGAACAGAAGGAAGAGGGTGAAGAGCGGCCATGGCAGGGCAGCAGCTGGGCCGACACAGGGCCGCGGCAGGGCCGGCGACGAGGCGGCGGGCTCCACCTCACAGTTGTACTCTGCCCCCTGTACACACACGCAGCCTCTGCAGGGCCCACAGCGATGTGTGCTACGAAAACTTTCCTGACAGCTTTCTGCTGTTTTTAAATTCGTACTTTAATTCCATTTTTCCCCACAAACTCTTTTTCCTTGAGCTCTGTACTCTGAAATCTCCCTTCGGAAGTCAGCTAGGCCGATGTTCACCAGGAGGCCTCCCGGGCACGCCAGCCCACACTCCAGCCCTCCGGCTCCTCACTTCTGCGACTGCTGTGGTTTATGGCTGTTCTCTCCCTACAAATCAGGGGACTGGCTTTTTTTTTTTTTTTTTTGAATTATCTTTTACTTAATTCCATGTAATATTTTTTTTTAATTTGACTAGAAAGAGAGA